GGGCGGGGACTTGCTCCTATTTGTTGAATGAACAGCAGTGTTTTTGAGGTAAGTGCCATCACATCTGTTTTACTGAGAAAGCCAGCACTCAGAGGTGAGGCTGAAGTCACACAGCTGGTGGGTGGCTGTGCTGATACCTGAATCCTGGCTTCTGTTACCCTTTGGGGGCCACACTCTTGGCCACTCCACTATGTGGAGGGGTTCAGAACATGGAGCAGCTCCCCATCACCCCCAAAAGCTCCTCTGAGCTTGGTCATGGAGTCAGGATCCTCCCTGGAGGAAGGAGGCTGAGGAGGGCACGGGTAGGTGATACTCCCAGTCCCCCTGATAAAGGCTGGGAGCGCGAGGACTGGAGCTTTTGACATGTCCCGCCTAGTGCCATCTGGGACCTGCAGGGGGCAGCAGTGACCATGCTTAGGCTTGGGAGGGGGCTCCTCCTGGGCAAGGCTGAGGGAGGGGCCTGGGGAAGATGAAGTGGGGACCGTGGGAGGGGAGAGGAAGACCTGGGTGGGCTGACTTCCTGGGGCCTGGGGTAGGGAGACTGCCCCCAGAGAGCTAGCACTGACTCTGGGACAGATGCGCGGAGAATTGCGGCGAGTCCTGAGCTCTGGGACACAGGAGAGGGACTTCGAGCTCTGCTTGGCCAGTCAGGCAGAGCCACAGGTGAGCTCACAGATTTCCCCCAGAGATACACAGCTACACACTCTGATGGGTACCACAAGTGGACACACACACTCAAACACAGAGTTACACTGACTCTCCATGCAGTCTTTCCTGAAGGAAATGGACTATACCCAGGACTCTCAGTTGTAAGCAACAGAAACGAAACCCAAACTGGCTTAAATAAAGAAAGGGGAAAAAAAAGGAGGGGGGGGGCGGTGAAGAAAGGGAATTTATTAGCTCATGTAACAGAAAAGTCCAGAAGTAGATTTTTTTAACGTGCTTCAGGCATGGCTAGATCCAGGTGCTCAACCATTGTCAGGAGGCTGCCCTCTTCCATCTCCTTACCTAACTTTCCTCTAAATTGGCTTCATTCTCAGACTTACTCTCTGTGAGGTAGCAAGATGACTAACCATAGTTTTGGTCTTATAGCTACCTTCCTTAGCTATCTAACAGAAGGGATGTCTCTTTCCCAGTAATTCCCAGAAAAATCCTAGCCTCCTTGCTGAAACTCCCCAGGTTGTGTGTCCATCTTTAGACCTATCACTGTTGCTAGGGCAATGGAACATTGATTGGCAAGCCTTGGTCATGTGCCCCACCCTCCCTACACCCAAGGCTTGGAAGGGGGTCAATTTCACTGACCCTCCCAGACAGAAAGTGGAGAACTCAAAGGAACAGGGGTTCTTCATGCTAGGAAGGAAAGGCCAGGATTTCCCAAGAAAGCTGAGAGGCCTCCAGCCTGAGTCACTCCACAAGGGCCTCAACTGGGGCCACATAATACAAGCCCTTCAGAGGGCCACTTGCCCCCTCTGTTTCCCTTCCAGTCCCCTTGCCAGGAGCTCCCAGCATGGCTGAGATAATCATAGCTAATATCTATGTAGTGCTTACTGCATGCCAGTCGCCCTTCTAAGTGATGAACATGCAGTAGGTCACAGCGAGTACAATTAGTGCTATTATTGTTATTCTCATTTTACAGATGAGGAAACTGAGGCAGAGAGGATTGAATAGCTTAACCCAAACCACACAGCCCATGAGTAGTGTAGCTGGGATTCCAATCCATCCTCTTGGGCACCAAAGGCCAGGTTCTCAGCCATCATGTTCTGCTAGTTCTCAGTGGAAGAACCTCAGGAAGGAAGGAGCGCTCTGAGCATGAAGATTATGGTCCAAGAAGCTTGGCCTCCAGGCCCCAGCAAATCCTGCTCTTGGAAAAGGATCTGAAAGAGTCCTTCAGTGGATCTCCTCTCTGGGAATTAGTATTTTCCTAGTAAAAAGAAGGGTGGGACTTCAGGTACAGGCCAGCTCCGGGAAGCTGGTGAGGCTCCCCTGCCCCCGCCCAAGATGTAGCATTAGGAGCAGAGTGATGCATCTGGAGAGGGGAAGGGAAAGTATTTGACATGTCTGGCTGGTGCCAGAAAGGGCAGCAGCCGACATAGCCTCATGCCATCTTTGAATGGCCTGGCCCAGTTCTGACTCCTTTAACCCCCAAAACACCCCACAGGTGGGTGTTTGTCTACGAGAAGGGCTATCAGACCTCAAGTGGCCTCATCAGCAGCGTGTCTGTGAAACTCAAGGGTCTGGCCGTGACGCAGCTCCCAGACCTGGGCCCGCAGGTCTGGGATGTAGCTGACTACGTCTTCCCAGCCCAGGTGAGCTGACTCAGGGGTACACCTTCTACGCACAGGGCCTGGCTCAGAGTGGGGTCTGGGCTCTGTCCAATCTCCCTATTGGACTGGTCCAGCTCCTATCTCCCCCTGGGCTTCAGCTTCCCTAACTGTGAATGAGGGGCAAAAGCAGGTTGTGATATCATCCCATTCTGACATCGTGGGGTATGGAGGCTGCTGGGTGTCACGTGGATTCTGGGGGCTCGTTGGGGCAGTGCTTGTGTTCTCAGGGCTGTTCTCCCAACTCAGAACCCTGCCCTGCCCTCCCCTACTCCTCATCTCCAGGGGGACAACTCCTTCGTGATCATGACCAATTTCATTGTGACCCCCCACCAGGCTCAAGGCTACTGTGCAGAGGTGAGGACTGCTACCCATCCCCTCTCCCCACTTCCTGGATCCACAGGGGAAAAGAAATGGAAGAGGAAGTCCCCTTGGGCATTGAAGATAGGCTTCCTCAAGGGGAAACAATGGGGGAATCTTAGGCACAGATTCACACAAAGTAACAGTCTGCTCTTGGCCGTGCTGAGGTTTCCCTCCCAGCTGTGTGTTAAGCAAGATGCTGAGCTTCGGTGCTCACCCAACCCCCAAGCCCTCATGTCGCTGCTCCTTGCCCGGTGACCCTGGCAAGAGCACAGCTGGGCATGAGCCCAGAGGGGTCCTGGGAGGGGACTGGGGGAAGGAAGCCGTAAGCAAAGGTCACCGCAAAGCTGTCTGAGGCTGCCTCACGACTTCCCTAGGGCCCTGGGGGGGAGGGGCTCTCCTTAGGACACTACACAAGGGGCGTGGAATCAGCTGCTCTCGCTTCCCCCAGCACCCAGAAGGGGGTACATGCACAGATGACAGTGGCTGCCCTCCAGGGAAGGCAGAAAGGAAGGCTCAAGGTAAGGTCGGCCTCCTCGCATCCCCCCGCACAGCCCTAGCTCAGCTCCAGGCTTCCTCCACCAGGAAGTCCTTCCTGCCATCCTAGCCTTGGCCTGCCCTGTCCCACACCCAGCCACATTTCTGTCCTCAGGCTTCTGCTCTTGGGTGTCCCATCACTGGGGGCTCTGGGGGAATGTGGGGCCTCCTCTCTATCCCCAGCTGGGAGTGGGCACCCACGGGCTCCTGCCTTGCTCCAGGCATCCGCACAGGCAAGTGTGTGGCCTTCAACGACACTGTGCAGACATGTGAGATCTTCGGCTGGTGTCCTGTGGAGGTGGATGACAATGTCCCACGGTAACGCTTTATCCATCCAGGGAGCCGGGAGCAGGTTCCCCAGCCCAGACAAAGGGGCATCTGGATCCATGTTCTGGAAAGGATCTGTCCTCCCTTCTTCCAGCCCCACCCTTACCCCATCTGTATGGCCCAACCCAATGATCCCCTGGCCCCTGGTTAAGGGGCCCAAGAGTCCATCATCACAGCACACCCATCCCAGCCCCCCACCCCCTGCATACCAGGGCCACAGGAAGATCCCATAGGTTCTCACACCCCCACACCCATGACAAACGCTGCTGGGCACATGGGGGACTCCTGAGGAGGGGACGGTAAGTGAGTATAGTCTCCTCCAGTCCTGCCCTTCTCCAAGAGGCCGAGAACTTCACTCTCTTCATCAAGAACAGCATCAGCTTTCCACGCTTCAAGGTCAACAGGTTTGTGGGAAAAGGGGGCAGAAATGCAGGACCCCCCCCCGCCAAGGCTGCTCTAGCTGGTCTCAACTGTCTCTGTCACCTTCCATTCCTGCTGATTTCACTTTGGAGGCAGAAGCCTGAGCTGGGCTCCTGGGGTGGGCTGCCTTGAGTCTCCAAGGGCTGTGGAAGGGGGGTTTATGGAGCTTCTGAGGGATCCCCATAGCTTTGGGGTGTGGTGGGCACCCTCCCAGCTGGCCTTCTGCTGCCACCTGTGCCCTCCACCCCCATGTAGGCGCAACCTGGTGGAAGAGGTGGATGCGGCCTACATGAGGACCTGCCTCTATCACAAGATCTTGCACCCGCTGTGCCCTGTGTTCAAGCTGGGCTATGTGGTCCAAGAGTCAGGACAGAATTTTAGCACCCTGGCTGAGAAGGTATGGTGCCAGGCAAATGAGGAGGGCTGGGTCCTGGAACCAGCAGGTCAAAGAAGGCTTTTCAATCCCAGATAACGCCCCCCTCAAGCCTCTCTGGTATGGGCTGAGTATATATGTGGATTTATTCCCTAATGTTGAGGGCTCCTGAAGCTCAGGCCTGAGTCCTCAGCAGGGCCTGGTATGGACCTGACACAGAGCAGGTGCCCAGAATGAATGGACATGGGCAGACATTTTCACCTGGATGTTTGCTGAGGTCACACTGTTTTTTAAATATTGGATAAAAGCAGCTTGAATTCCATGCCCTATGGCCCCGAGAAGTCCTGTGCCCTGCTCAGGAATCCTGAGAATTCCAGAATCTGGGATTTGTCCAGTCACCTGGGGTTCTAAGAGAAGCAGTACCTTGTAAGGAGCACAAACCTGTCTGACTGGGTTCGAATCCTGGCTCTGCCCCAATGAGCAATGCGACCTCACACTAGTCTCTTACCTTCAGTGTGTCTGAGCTTTTGCGCCTACATAGTGGGGACAATAATAGTACCAAGCTCGTGGGGTTGTCCTAAGGATCAAGTGAGTTCATGCACGGGATGGCACTTCATTACTGCCTGGCACGCGGTGACCCTGTGTCCATGTTCCCACATGATCATTCTCAGCCTTCTCCTACACTTGCCTGTTTAGGGATGGAAATCAGCTTCTTCTCTGTGATATCACACATACACACGAAACGTGCTCACGACACATTTATCTAGAACAGGGATCAGCAAGTTTTAAAGTTTTTCTTTAAAGGGCCAGAGATTAAGTATTTTCATCTTTGCAGGCCATATGGACTCTGTTCCAACCATTCAAGTCAGCTGCTATAGGGAAAAGCAGCCACAGAAAATACGAAAACAAGTTCGGCCCTCGGGCCTCAGTTTGCCAAACCCTGGAGGGGGTTTGCACTGTAGCAACACACACAACCAGAAAGCTGAATGTTAGACTTCCCTGTTCCTAAAACCTCCCTGCCACCTGCACTAGGAACTTTCACCCTCACCATCATCCACAGACACTTGCATACCTACCTCCTGCCTAGTTGCCCAGCTCCACACACGCTCTGACCACTTCCCAACTCTCCTGTTGCTCAGCCTACCCCCACCTGGCCCTGGTCCTCACCTTGATCAGAGGAGCTTCACTTTCTCAAGTTTTCTCTTCCTAGCCCAGGTCTTTACAGACTCATTCTTTAATGCAACACTATTTCCTTGCCTTCCACACTGTGACTTTCACTAGGAACTCAGGAGTCAGTGATAAATGAGACAGACAGCCCCACCCTCACGGAGTTTATAGTCTTAGAGGAGATGGGTTAGTAATCCCACAAAATAAATAGATGATTTCAAAGTGACAAATGTTCCAGGAGAAAACAGGGACTAACAGGCACACGTTTTTAGCCTGGAGGTGGTCATTAGGGAAGGCCTTTCAGGGAAAGTGACCAAAGGATAAGAAAGAGCCAGCCTTGTGGAACTGGGGGGAGCTGTATGTGCAAAGGCCCTGAGGTAGAAAGAACTTGGTGTAGTCTAGAAACCATCAGAAAGTTGGAGTGTGATGGGTGGGGGGTGGGGCCAGAGAGGGTGACAGGACCCCATCCTGCAGCAGCTTCTCAGTGTCTCTTCTCCAACAAAAAAATGCTCCCCCCTTCAAGAGATTGCTGGCACCAGGGTAAGACAGGAGTTTCTTTTTTTTTTTAAATTTTTTTATTGTTATGTTAATCCCCATACATTACATCATTAGTTTTAGATGTAGTGTTCCATGATTCATTGTTTGTGCATA